GGGACATTAGTCCATGAGGCAGACATCCTTTCTACTTTTAAGGCAAGGCTTAAAGGTATAGTGTAGGATGTTTTTTTTTTTCCGGGTGGATCGTATAAAAAATAAGTGGCCCTCCTAATTGTCAATTATTCTGGTGATATGTTTACGTAAGGGCCCCCTATGTGCTCATCCCCATTTTCACTTACCGGTAGTGAGTCTGACATAATGGAGAAGTTGCAAATCTTCTTTTGGAAAGTAAGCTTGTATGAGCGATGCAAACAGCAACTTAAAAAGAGTAAGTGGAGAGGGCGGGACGTTTCAGAAATACAATCCATCACTATATCTATAAAACTTTCCTTTTTCATAAACCTTATAGTTAGAGTGGCTCAGGTTATCCTGAGCTATCTGTATAGTTAAGCTACTATAGGCTTAGACTGCTGGAGGACATAGGGACCCCTATTTCTCATTCTGCTTCATTCTATCTCTATTCTCCAATCCTGCAGTATTTATTGATTCAACCCCTAAAGTTATGTTCTCTCTGCTTTTTCTCTTCATGTTAGCTTTATCGGATCTTTTGCAGTTTAGCTGTATAATTGCGCCCGTTTTTCAGTGTTTACTGCTGTTTCTCTCCCAGACATGACATTGGGCTCAGCTTTAACTGTGACTAATTTGACGTGCTCTCTTTCATCCCTTTAAAATGAAAACTGGCTCATAGCTTGTCCACTTAACTCTTTCTTATCCAGACAGAGCCACCCATGGAGCCAGTTTTCTGTTACCTTTTCTTACATAGAAAGTATTTAAAAATCAGTGCCTCTATGTTAATTTTGTATGTCTGTTTTCTTTCTTATTGAACCCCCAGTTGGCCTCAGCAGAGCACCAGTCACACTGAGCCTGGTTCTGCTGGAAGTTTATTTCTATTAAAAGGAAGACTTGACAGCACTGTATGTCATCATGAAAGCTAAATCTGTTCATTGGCCTGTTCTGTCTGTTCATTTTTTTCAAAACAGTTACAAAGCAATTTACTACATTAAAAAAATCTAAATAGCATACATAAAAAAATACATATTTCCAAAAATTTAGAAAAAAGGTTTATACATTAAGTTTGCAATAAACCCCATGTCTCTGTTTCATAGTTATTTTCTGACTTGTTGGTTTCTACCCAGATATACTGTATGAAAACAGACTTTGCTCAAACACAGTATTTTTGTTCTTCTTGTTAAATTTGGTATGACTGTACCTTGTCTTCCTGTTTTCCAGGTTTTTTCTTTTCATGGGCCCTCTTGGAGGTGAAGTGCTTGTACCCTGCAGTGGGGAGACATTCAGGAACCTATGGACACGTTCACAGCCAGCCTTGGCGTTACGCTGCAGACTCTCTGCTTTTCCTGACCCTCTGATGTGCTGTGTGCACCCTGGCAAAATGTGATAAGCTCAAAACTAGGAACATTTGTTCAGGACTTAGAAAATTGCCTTTTCTGTCTCACAACAGGACGAGATTTAAAGTTCAGTCAAAGCAAAAGAGCAACCTTTGAATACAAGTAAGCTCAAATAAAGAGAATCATTGTGGTAAAAGGACACCCTATCAAAGATTTCTCTTAAATGTTAGAATATATATAAAAACTTATTAGTGATTAAACCATTCTTAAAATGTGAACAAAAGTAGAAAATAAAATGAAATATAATTATTATTTTCCTGTAAAAGGTCATTAAAAAAAATTTTCAGTAGGGAATAAATGAGGAAAAAAAGAGTCTAATATCTCATAGGTGTACCACATCAGCTGCACTTGATCCAATCAATGTTTCTTGTTATTTAAAAGAAATTTGCCGTGTTTCCTGGTTACTTAATACCTGGCGAGCCAGACTGATAATGTGAAGCACTCAGATTTAGTTTTATACATCATTATTCAGGGAATGCGCCACTCAAATCTCATTGGATAAAGGTGAGACATTCAGCAGAACATTTCCAACAAGAGACACAAAGTTTTTTCCAATCACGGTAATAAATGGCGGCAGACACCATGAGGAACTACAACAACTGACGCTTTCATGTTTTTGCAGTAACTCCTTTAAAGCTACAGTGTGTAATTTTTAGCGACATCTAACGTCCAGACTGCAGACCGCAGCAACATGAACATCCCCCCCCCCCCCCGCTTCTCCCCCCCAACAGTACGGCGAGCGTTACGGGACAAAATGTCTTCCACGACGTCCGCATCACCTACCTTCTCAAGTGATGAGGTTTGTTTACATATATAATTTTAATACTGCCATCTATTGTTCAGTACCGTCTCAGTTCATCTCTCTCAACTTGCCGTAGTTACTTTCGAGCGTAATGGGCGATCTCGCAATCGCTAGTTTGTTGGCTCTGCGCTGCCGTAGCGCAAAGATGTCTGCCTCCATGGCTGCGAGACCCGCTCCTATGTAATTATAAATAACGAATTCTAAGGCAACGCAAATATTAAGGTTAAGAGGCTGAGCTAATAGATGATGATAAATAACATAGTTATGTATAATATATTACATTTCTGACTGTATATCCCTGTAATTATTACACACTGTAGCTTTAAAGATGAAATCATGGATTCTGACAAAGCAGATGTGACAGCAGCAGCTATACGTACCGCCTCCTTCACTACCATGACTAATTTGGTTTGGCTTTCAGCTGCATGTTATCAAAGCTATATGTCCAGCCCTAAAGTACAATTCTGCTCACGATTGGCTGACCTGTTTCAGGTCGCACTCAAATTAATAAAGCTGGAGCTGCACAAGATGGATTCTCATGTGTTTTTGAACACACGAATAAATTCAGCTTATATTCAAGGTTATGTCTCTTATACAACATTTGAAAAGTTTCACAAGTAACAGCTCTTTCTGGCTGCCAGCAGGTGAATCAGGTCTTTTGGTGGAACAGAGATGAGTGTGATAAAAGCAAGGCAGACTAATTTTAGCACGAATTACGAAAATCATTGAGAAGGAACAAAATAACACTCTGTAGGCCCTTTTGAAGGGCTTTTGTGGTTTGAACAAAGAGCAAACACGAAGAAAAAAAAACACCAAGCCACTCTCACACTCCAGTTACTCTGGCATCTTATAACACAAACACAAGGTCTAAAATGAAAACATCTAATTTCTTTAAATAAGTCTCTTATAACCCCATCTGTTTCTCATATACGATGATACAGCAGCCCTGAACAGATTATATGAAAAAAAGTTTTTTATTTACAATTTGATATAAAGGAGTCTTTTAATCCCTGCAGAACATCCTGGATGTTTACAGCCCCCTTGGTGAAGTGGTTTAAGGTGAGGAACTGGGTTTGAATTCTAGTTGCATCAGAAAGAGTGAGAAAACTTCTCCAAGTCTGTTAGGAAGTAGCAATGGAAAGTTATAGCATTAACTGAGTATTAAGGCAGCTGAAATTTCTAGATGTTCTGTGGAGCAAGTGGGTAACACTACTAATGCCAATTCAGTCCTTAATTAAAAAAATATATAATTTAGATTAGATTCAACTTTATTGTCATTGCACAGGTACAGGTACAAGGCAACGAAATGCAGTTTAGGTCTAACCAGAAGTGCATAAGCAGCAAGTGCAGGATAAATAATGGCTTCCATAAATACAGGACATGGGTTCTACTGAATAAGTATAGAGATGAATACTATTATAAACAGAATAATATAATATATACAAAACAAAAAATGCCTTCTAAAAAATAAGAAAAAAAAAATATAGTGTTTTAAGTGAATAATTGCTTATTTTGAGCAAAATAGTCTGCCAGTGCAGCAAGCAAATGAGACTTGGTAAGATTTCTTAAAACAAGAACATAATATCCAAGTAGTAAGCATCACAAAAAATTTAAGTCAAGTAGAAAAATCTATTTTTCTTTTACTTGTTAAGATTTTTGCTCTTATTTTAAGCAATGTATTCTCATTTATTAGTCATTATTGCTTAGAATTAAATGCCCTCTAACCAATTATTGCTCAAAACAAGCAAACAACAGGCTTAAAAACAAGGCAAATGTACTTGATACCAGTTCATTTAAAGGCTTAAAACAATTTTCTTTTTTTTTAGCTAGAATTAATTTCATTATTTAGGTGTAGTGAATGTACGGGAAAAATACACTTGACAAAAACTTCAAAATGTTTTTTTATTAATATTTTAGCAAAAATGTCACAGAATTAAGCGAAAAATTGGGTCAGTTCTTAAAACAGGTTAATATGGATTGTCTTATGTCTTGAAACAAGTAAAAATGTACTCACAGTCTAAATGTTAACGCGACTCAGTCCGCAATATGTGCTATTTTAAGAAAAAAAGCTGCTCAGAATTAGTTGTATTATCTAGTTAGGATAAAAAAAATGAATTTTCTTAAAACAAGTCAAATATCTTAACAATATTTAGTCTTACTAAGAAAATACATTGAAAAACAAGTGTAATAAGACCAAAATGCTGAATTCAAGTTTATTACACTTGTATAGATTTTCCTTTTTTGCAGTGTAGATAACTAGTGTTATGAACTATATTTACAGCTGGATAATTATAGGTGGATATTATTATAAAAAGGGTTTTTTACAGTTATGTACAATAGCATATATACAGATTGATTTTACTATAAAACTAATAAGTAAAGTTTGGACAGAAGCTATCTAAATTAAAGTGCAGTGGAAGGTAATTATATATTAAAGTTAAAGTACGTTATTGCAAATGTTCTTTAACTGTAATTTAATGACTTTTAATGATTTTTAATGACCTGCGGAAACACTGCTCACCAACACATCCCCATGGAGACGATGGACAACTTCTGAGCACATTCTGGTAACATATTGAAAGTTTTTTTTCTGAATATCTTTGTCTATTTCAATTAAATTATTGTACTTTAACCACCAAAACATTAGGAATTAAAACTTAACTTAAAACTTCAGAAAAAAAGGTTTGCTGGTACTGGTGTATACTGTATTTGATGTTATTACTAAATATTTTAATTTTTTGCCCTACAATGAAAACAGAACATAAACACAGACACATTCCAGCTGCTGACCTTTAAATTATTTAATAATTTATTTACTTTACAGGATTATTAGAAACATTTAGGGAGGGTTTGCATTTCCTCACTCTTCTGTTCGGAGTCTGGATCATCTTCTGTTCTTTGAAATTTCCTCCTAATCCAGAAAAAAAAAAATATCTGCTAGAGTCTCTTCTGCAGTTTTATAGAAAAAAAAACTAAATCAAAACAATTTATTTGTTTTTTTTGTCCAACTGTTAAGCTGAAACAGATCCTTTACTATTACCCCAAAGAAAATAAACCAAGCTGTGATGAAATTTGGTCTTGAAAACGTTAAGCTCAGAATTTACTGGGATGGGACAGAAAATAGAAAAACAAAACCGGGCTGCAGATCAGCTCCAAATATTATGTTTTTTCTACCAGAGACATTGTTCGTTTTCTCTTCACATTACAGCAGAAAACAGGTTGAAATTTAAAAGTGCAAATCTGCAAAGGCATCCTCCCACATCCCCCATCTATGCCGCCTTCATTGCTTTATATATGTTCCATCACATCAAATAGAAAATATGACGGCAAATATGATGGATTTTTGTTGTATGACGAACAAAATCCGAATATTAATTTTATCCCTGAAAACAATGTGAAGGTCACAGAAGCCTTAGGGGGGGCGGGGTTTCTGTGTGATGCCTGTAGCTGAATGCGATCAGTTCATTCTAGCTGAAAATGAACAGTCCGCTCTGAGACACACTGGTGCTGTCCGCTCGTGATGAAGCAACACTCAAAACCTCTTGGGATGAAGGTATAACAGGCCGATTTACATCCATGAAGCCATCACAGGGGTTTCCTTCTGTACCTGCTAAAACATAAAAGACATATGAAGTTAGAGTTCTGCAAAAAGTGCATGCATGTAATAAAGACTGATATGAGCAGTTTTATTTAAAGCATGCATTTTGAATGTTTATGTGTGCAGATTTAACAATGCTTTGCTTAGATGCAATGTAGAAAAGTTTCATTTTGAAAAAAAAAAAAAAAAACGATTGAGGATTTGTCTGTGACTGTAAATTTCTTACAGAATAATATCCCTGTACCTTTGGTCAGACTACAACTTCAAACACCAAGCAATGCTAAATGTGGAGATAAGGAACTCATTTCTTTAAATGCATCTGAAATCTGAAAGGTGTGGCAGACACTAGTATTCCACCCCCCGATTCAACGTTTGTTAAACCACCATTTTCTGCTATCCTTTTAGGTTCTTATCAAGCGGGTCTGCACTTGTAGAGATAAAAAGAAATGTTTGCACATTCAACTTTGCAAAATAGCTCAGGTTTAGTCTAGATTTAGTATAGATTAGAAGCATCTGTGAATGTCAATTTTCAAGCCTTACTACAGATCCCTCAGCTGGACTGAGGTCTGGTTCTTTGACAGGGACATTCTATCCCCTGAATATGCATTGCTCTAAACCAGGGGTCACCAACACGGTGCCAGTGGGCACCAAGGTGCCCTCAAGGACCACATGGGGGGCCCTCAGAGTCTTCTAAATTAAGAACAACCCACCAGTGGGCTAAGTTTGAAATTTTATTTAATTTTGTTGCTCCTTTTTTTAATCATATATAGAGATTTCAAAAATGACAATGTCTAAATAAACTTAGAAATTAAAAGAAAAAATAAGAATATGTTGATAATAATGAACAAAGTTTAGGCTAACGCTAACCCTTGCAGCTCATGGGTCAGTAATGGTCGCCCTTCCTAAGTCTCGGTACCCTTAAAGTGGCCCTCAGCCTTAAAAAGGTTGGTGACCCCTGATCTAAACCATATACAGTATTGTATCCATGGCTGTGTGTGTGGGACTGTTGTCTTATTGAAATCTGAACTTTTCAGCTTTCCCTTCATATGTAGCACCATCCATCTTTACAGAAACTCTGACCCTCTGTGCCTCTCATAAACCGCATCACCATAGAATGATGCTGCCACCGTGTGCACACTTCAACTTGTGGAAGGAAGGGAGGGAGGAAGGAAGTGAGGAAGGAAGCAAGGAAGCGAGCTAGCTCCATGTCTTTAAGTCAGTGCCTAAATGCCATAACCCTAATTTCACTGGTGTTAGAACAAACCTGCTGGTGAAATCAAAAGGCGAGTTTAAATCTGTCAGAATTTTTTTTTTATAATTTTGTTGTTTAACTGTCCACCTGTGACCAGATTTCTCTCTGTCCCTCACCAACACGTCCCCATGGAGACGATGGACATGTCAGAAAAAGTGCGTTCTGAACAAATCTATTTATGTGGGGAAAAACTCAGGCTTATATTTCAAGAAAAGTAGGATTTCAATTCAGATAAAATCCTTTTATCTACTATTTTAAGCATGTTTGTATAATTTCTTGCAGACAATTGAAAAATGTTGTCATCCTCCAAAGGTTAGCATGGGGGGGGGAGGGGGGGTCAATAGATTCATTATCTATAGGCACAAGCTAATAAAGATGGCATTAACCCTTTATAGGGCAAGTTCATGTTTTTGATCACTTGCATACCCCTTACAAATGGAGTCCCTCTCGTCCCTCAGTGAGGTCTAGAAGCACAATATCTATATCCAGCCATTCAGCAAAGATCCTGCTACATGGCTGTACATCTTATTTTGCATTTGACCAATTAGATGAGCCCTTGAATGATAAATTATCTACTGAAAATAAAGTTGAAGAACAGGTAAATCAAGAAAACAAAGATAAAAAGCTAATTGAAAAATTAAAAACTAAAGTTAAAAGTTAATAGGCTTAGTTAACAAATATATTAAGGTTTATCAGTATTAATCCCTCTATGTTGGACCAAAAAATATGTTTCTTTCACTCTCACAGTGTTCTTCATGAATTTCTTATAGGAGCATTTCTGTTATTTTTCTTAATATATTTGGGCAAGTTGGTCTTACCTGACATTAATTTTTGCCATCAAAACATCCCTATTTTTTTTTTTATGTTACAAAGGTAAAAAGGTCTTGTCCGGGATTCAAATAACACTATTGGCTTGAAATTTTTATTTCAAAATATTTCACAGTGTCCTATAAAGGGTTAAAGGTATGTTAATTATTTCTATTTACCTTGTTTAGTTCTGGAAACATTTCTTGAATGACGATGTCCAGCAGCACATAAGTCAGCTGATCAAGGAAGAAAAACATGGGAAACATTAAACCCAAGATGTATTTCAGAAAAGAACAAATAAAAGAATAAATAATGATAAAAATATTTTCTGATAGAAACATTTTTTATGATAATGTCACTGAGTTTTACACCTTTTACCTCCAGAATCCGAAGGTATGTGATATGACCGAGCCTCAAACATGCTGTGAAAACAAACGACGGGGTTTTTCCTGTACCTGTTTGTTGAGAACCGGCTGCTGCAGTCCATCAAAGAGAAGGCGAACTCCTTCATACTTGGCCTCCTCTCCGATACACTTCCCTAAAAAATCTAAAGAAATTTACCCTTTATGCAATTATTTGTCTCGGATGCTGAATAATCAAGAAAAACAACCCCTGGTTGTGAAATAAAGACCTGGAATATAGCTCATCATTTCCTCAAACGTCCTCTTCGCTCGGCTTTGTTTGTCCTGGGCCGAGCGGGGCGGACTGCTCTCGCAGAAAACTGCGTCTGGAACAACATTGGTTCTGTTACCGACAGACATTCTGGAATGAAGGGTTGTAAGACAATCCTCCCTAATGATTCATGGGCAAATCAGAGGCCTTGGTTTTTACCTCTAAGCAGGGTGATGAGTGAGACGAGCCGGTGCTCCTGGACCACCTGGTTCAGTTTAAACTGAAGGTAATAATCTGTATAGGCCTCCAGGGTGTTCTTGAACAGGATTCTGCCGCCCATTAACAAGTGATGCAACCAGTCAGGGATATGAAACACGACCCGCCCTGCCGCAGTGATGCAGAAAATATTTTGTCAGGACTGAAAACAAGGAGATAATGTAAGACAGTAGCTCTCTCTTTTACAGTACATCAATAACCATGTAATAACATTATAATAACATAGCAAGACACACTATATTACCTGGTAACAGGAAAAAAAAACTACTTTTTTTGGTATATACCCCAAAAATAAGGTATATATGCAGGCAATTACCTGCATGTAATTATTTACAGTTGCAGGTTACTATGTAACAATGGATACTTTTGGTGGGTAATTATTATTTATTTTTATATATTTTTCACAAATCAAAATAGAAACTCAGAATACATAAGATTTTTTTTTTACATTTTAACTTTCACATTTCAGGGAGTCAATATTTGTAAAATCATACATCACTGTCTTTGTTGGATAACAGTATTCTTTCCAAAGACTGAAGATTCAAAATATTTTCTATATTCCTTCCATAGTTTTGCACACAAAGCTTGTCTAGTATTATAAGAATGGACTTGGCAGTTCTGAACAAAATAATTCTTGAAACTATCACGAGACTGACCTTGTTTTATCATAAAAACAAAGGTACATGTTTGATAAATATTAATTTCATAAATATTCAACAGCTGTAATTTGGAGAAAAGGGGAGCAATAGCTAGATCAAATTTAGAAAATGTTGCTAAACGAACTAAAGTTTTTTGGAAAAGTAGGATTTTTTTAAGATAACTAGGAAATGTACTTGCCCAAACAATACATCACTTTATTGTGAACAAAATTTCTAATCCTTCTCAAAATACCTGGAGATTTAGTGACTTTTTTTGCAGACTGTACCAATTTGTTCTCCCCCAAGGAGTTTGTCAAGTTGATTATTTACCATAACAGTTTCTAATATTGGCCACCACCTCCCAACGGCTTAGAAAGTAAATTGTAACTTGTGATCAGGTAAATAAAGCATTATAAAACTGAACTAAACTTACATATAAATAGGAGTTTAGTTAAGAATATTGGCTTGCTGTATTCTAGGTTTGGTTTTCTTTTATATGCCAAGTAATAAACTGCATTTTACTACATAATAACACATTATTAATTACTTATTTACCTGTAAATAACGGTATGACATCTAAGAAGTCTGACTTTATCTTGTCTGCCTAAAATTTGAGGCACAGCATTTACCCAAATTCTCCATAAAGTGTTTCTTGTTACCTAGTAATATAGCGTAACTTGCTATGTTATTACATGGTTATTGATGTACTGTAAAATAAAGCGGTACCAGACATTTAATATGTTGCATTGTTTTAAAATGTAGCTGCATTATAAAGGTGAGCTTCCTTTTTCACTCGTCCTCATCTTTATAAAATATGCCTGACGCAGAAGAGCAGAGATCATCATTTCCAGCTTTATTTCAGGGTTCCCATGAGTTTACACACGCCTTTTAAATTACCAGGTTTATTTTTCAATCAGTTAAAGGAAAGTGTCTCATTTCTGTTATCCCACTGTTCCATATTTTCTCAAATTATTGAAAAAACCCTTAACTGATTTTAGGATTCAATCTTTTTACTACTATATTAATCATTTGGCCCATGGCATTATAAATACAGCTGTGCATTTTTATGCTGATGATTTCATAATTTACTTTCATGCAAAATCAGTTGCCTTTGTTTTATTGAGCACCTGCTTTTAGCACCATTCGGTCTCAGTTTTTACAACTAAAGTCAAGTTATTTTCCCAAAAAAAAAGGTTTCCTCACCTCCTACTGCTTAGTGACTTTGTATCATCCTATAAATATTTAGCATCACTTTAAATAAAAATTATACCTCTAAGGTCCACATTGAAAACCTGCTAAATATGCGTAAACTAAGTTTCTTTTTCTTCAAAATAAATCTTTTTTTTTCTCATACAATGCCAGGAAACTGCTGCTTTCTGCCAATTTCATGAGCCACTTAGATTTTTGAAGATATTGTTTAAATTAACGTCTCTGCCGATGTTCTGTCAGACCAGCATACCCATAGTCAATACACACGCAAGACGTCAGATTAGCATTCATCCCTTTAGTTTTGTATGAAAAATAGACTTTAAACTACCTCGACGGGTGTGTATCCTTTTAATCATGTACAAAAAACAAACAATTTCAGGTCAGATCGCCATACGCTTAAAAAAACACCAGAAACTAAGTAATTAAATCGTTTTTTTGTACATGATTAAAGGGATACACGCCTGTCGAGGTAGTTTTAAGTCTATTTTTCATACAAAACAAAAGGGATAAACAGGTATTGACTACTAGCCTTGTGAGACCATCCTGATCTCGCGAGCTTTTGCGTTGAAGAAAATTTGGAGCCGTTCACCAAACGGACGTCCAATCAGCGTTGGCTTTGAGGCGGGTTGAGGTGTGACGCAACGAGAAGCGCGACAGTTCAGTCTAAAGAACATGGCGGCTTCAGCCGATGAAACTAGCGTTAGCGTGGCTATCGAGCAAGTTTTATCAGAATTACAGAGTATTTCTTCACTGAAAGAAGAGCAAAACACTGCTCTCTCCCTATTTCTAAAGGAGTGCCAAGCCATCCTAAAGCTAGTTTCGACCTCTTGTATCCTGGATCTCGTTCTTTCGGTCATGATACAGATTTCATGACCATAGATGAGGGTAGGAGCGTAGACCTATCGATAAAGCGAGAGCTTTTCCTTCTTGTCACTCCTTCCTCTGAAGGAGTGACTCGAGGCCATACGCCAGTGGGCCCACCACCCGCAGGGGGAACCATTAAGGACTGGTTAAGGAGCTAGAGGCCTCAGCGGCCTGATCCAGAGAGCTACTGGGGTAGAAATGCATAGTCAGTACATGACATTGGTAGCCTCGTGAGACCATCCTGATGTCGCGAGCTTTCAAGGTTTCACTCGCTAATCAGTCTGGAGACTCTCCGTTGAAGAAAATTTGGATCCGTTCACCAAACCAACGTCCAATCAGCGTTGGCTTTGAGGCAGGTTGAGGTGTGACGCAATGAGAAGCGCGACAGTTCAGTCTAAAGAACATGGCGGCTTCAGCCGATGAAACTAGCGTTAGCGGGGCTATCGAGCAAGTTTTATCGGAATTACAGAGTATTTCTTCACTGAAAGAAGAGCAAAACACTGCTCTGGAGGCTTTTCTCAGAGGAAAAGATGTTTTTGCTCTTCTCCCGACTGGTTTTGGCAAGAGTAGCCTGGCTGTTAGAACGTCATATGCTTCGTTGATCTGATTGGTTTATTTGGCCCGTCTATCACCAACATAGGCCAATCAGCTAACCAGTATTTTCGCCCCTTCCCAAAATTACTTCAATGGAAGGTTTCCAGATGGATATGCGGAGCAAATCCATCTGGTGGAGTCAGGTTAATTGATTACGGGTATACTGATCTGTCAGAACACCGGCTCGTTGGGCATGTTGGACACTGTGTATCACCAAGCTCTCAGGTTCATCACAGGCTGTACTGGTACACATTCATTTATTAATCCCTTCTTCAGCTGGTGCCACCCAATTTCTCATGTTATATCTTACAGGAACAGCAGAGCCCTCGCTACCAGGATCTTATCACTTTCAGAGTTTTGAACTTAACAGTAGAGCGTTCTCCTACTCTGGTTCATCCTGAAGTCAGTCCATCTGGACTTAAAAGTTTCATTGAAAGGTTTGGGAAAAACATTTATAGGTGCTTTGCTTTTCAATAATGTATGTATTCTGAATTGATTTGTTTGTACTGTGTATTGTATTATTACCGTCTTTCCACTGTTAACTGTTATGTTTAGTAAAACAAGGCTCTCTTGTAGGTCTTAAGAGATCTTCCTGCCTAACCTCTCAAAACCCACAGTTTTAAAGCATTTACAACTAATAAGTCGGAATGCATTAAAAAATGTTAACCAATATTGACATGTAACACATCATTGGAAAGCTTAGATTCTCCACAATTCAACTGCCAAGTTCATTTTATGGACACAGTGAGCACAATTAACACAGATACAGCAGCATGTCAAAATGTAAGCATGATAAAGCAGCCAGAAATAAGCAAGCATGTCTTTATTACTGCTGTTAAAAAAGACCTATTATTTTTGAGAATAAAAAAACAACTTTGAGTCATGTTTGAACTGATGCAGCTTGGACTGTGTTTTACTCCCCCAATTTACTTGTATATATTCAGAAACTAGAAGGTGATAGCTTTTAAATCAAACATGTAATTTGGGCTTACAGTTCCTAAGTTATTTGCTTTGAAAAATAGGTGAGAATTTCCCAAAATGAGATGGATGTTAAGAGGCTAAATAGAGGATCGGATAAACCAATAAAAACACAAAATTTTATTTATATTAAATTAGATTTTTTTTTTTTTTTACTCTGTGAACTATGGCTTTAGCCAAAGTTACACAAGGTAACTTTTGACCCAAATATTAACTTGAGATTATATTAAGCAAATTACTTTTTTCTATCATTATTCATTATCTCTGCAAGCTGCCCTTCTAAAAGAAAAAACTCAACTGTGTAACTGGAGAGGGTTTGACTGGTCACTGAATGAGTCATGTTACCCAGAGTGCATTGCTAGAATGTTCCTCAAATTGCTTCACGTCGCATCGCTCCTGAACGCACCTCTACATGTTAGTATGTCATTTTGGCTGCTGGAAAGGCGTTGGGTCTGAACCTACCTTCAAGATTAAACCTTACAGGTCTAGCAACCCCAGTGGCTAAAAAAATACTTTTAATATAGTTAAATCTAATTCTCTATAAATAATTTCAGGTGTGACAACTTCAAGACAATTAACTTGAATAAAAGTCATTTTTCTAGCCAAATTATTTGTTTCAAGATGTGCTTAATATTTACCTAGAACTTTCCAGCCTTTTAATTTGAGTCTCTTTTTCCAAGTTGCTGTTTAATATGATTCTTGTTTTAAATGCAGAAAAGGTACTTTGCTTATTCATCTTGGTGCTGCGATGTTAACAGGACATAAATCTGCAATTTGACCTTTTGTATGCATGGGTCTGGATGAGAGGGTTTCAGGTGGTATGTTTAATGTGGGCTATGCTTGGTCAAAACTTTTCCTTAATTGTCAAATATGTAATTAGCGTTTGTGTCATTGCTACCTAAATCCTAAGGGAAAACTACATGGAGAATATATAAATGACTGAAACAAATATTTTAACCATCAGAATAACTCAAAGTCACTGTGTGAAGCTGAACTCAATGCAATCAGCTGCTGATTTCTAAGTTAAATGCCACAATACTCTTATCAATTGTAGGCCAGGGGTTCCTGGATTGAACAGGTGCCGTTAAGCAGAGTGTTTAAATAGCTCTTAAGATCATTTTGTCTTCCACGGCGTGCCAAAATGAAGATATGCCAAATTCTAGAAGCGCATTTAAAGGGGGGAAACCCGGTGCTTCAAAGCCTTTTGTCCAGATGTTCTCCACACTGAGATTTCAGGACAGCAGGACCCTTCAGCAGATAAGAGAAACGCACATTTGAACGCGGATCTCTGTGGAGCACTTCTTCCAGGATATTGCATACGAGATATGTACCTGAGTGAAGCTGGCATCCCCAACTTTTCCAAATGAAACCATCAATTTCGGCTACATTAGCGCCGTTACCATTATATGGATATGAATGAAAAATTCCAGAGGTCACCAAGGATCAACCAGCCCTCTCACCTTCTTCAATAAAAAAAAAAAATAATGGTGTCACTCAATTCAGCTTTGTTTGTGCAGCAGAGATGTTATTTGTGCTGCTGATTGCAGCTCTTAAATGCATCACAGTTAAATGGTTGAAGTCTGACCCTCCAACATACAAAATGTGGATTGAAAAGGTCTGGGAAATCTATTATATGGAACAAATAACTTATTGCCTGAGCTTTCAAAAAGACATATTTGTTAATAGGTGGAAACCGGCCATGACCATATTAATGCAGTAAAACTTTTTTTGTTGTTGTTTTTTTTTTCATTGTATTCTATTCCATTTATATTGTAATTTTTTATATTTACTTATTTTCTATTTAATTTTTATTCCATTGGTGCTGCTTATTTAATTACTAACTACATTTATGTTTGTAAGTTACTTATGTTTAACCATGTGACCTACTTTACTTGTAAGCCTAACTTGTTGTATATACTTTCAAAGTTATGCCTGTGTAAGTTGCAAAAATGTAAATAAAAATTAAGTGAAAAAAAAAGCGGAACAAACTACATTTTTGCTGCACAAACCACTACAAGTTCACACATTAATGACAAATGATGGCGTCCTGAAGATATGGCATTTGTTTTTTAAGGTTTCCCTTGGCTCAGTTTGTTGGTAAATATAGCCTATATGTCATTCCAAAAAAATGAAAAAACAATCCACTGGACTTTGTTTCCAAGTTTGAAGACATTTCGCTTCCCATCCAGGAAGCTTTTTCAATTCAAAATGTCAGAAATAGCGTTGAGTTCAAGGATTTATAGAGTGCACTGGAAAAAAATCAAAATCTAGATAAGTATTTTTTTTTCTTAAAATAAGTGCATTTGTTCTTGAATCGAGGAGGTCAAAATGACCTTTTGCCAATAGAACAAGACAATTTACATTTAAATTAAGAAAATACAATTGTGTTGTTTTATTTTACCGTATTTTCACGACTATAAGGCGCACTTAAACGTCTTTTTTTTCCCTCAAAATGTGCGGTGGGCCCTTTGGTGCAGTGCGCCCTATGTGTGTTGTAACTGCGACTTTTGAGACCACCTCATTGAGGAGATGATGAAAGAGTGGCTGAATGTAAGGAGACCAGGTGTTTTTTTTCCCACACATCACCATCGCTGTTAATATGTAACTCCATGCGTGCCCATCTCACAGCTGATGTGAAAAACATGGGGAAACAAATTAACGCTGTGCTCGCTGTTCAACCGCTCGACATCGTGTGAACCGGACCCAGCAGGTGCAGCAGAAGCAGCGAGTTTACATGCAAAGTCAATGGTTGACGCGCGTATAGGTGCAGCAAAAGGTCCCGCAGCGCGTTTTGAGCAGCAGGAGCGTTTAAGCATCTGCCAACGCGCTGCTGCTGCTCGAGATGGAAAAATTAAAGTTTTTCTGCTGGACGCGCCGCATCAACCAATCAGAGAAGCTGATCTGGGAGCTGACAGCGAGACAGACACAGCGCTCTGATGACATTAACGCAATGAAAAAGGCTGGAGATGATGAAAGGGAGGTGTATGTGAGGAGACCAGGTGGTTTTTTCCACGCATCACCATCGCTGCGTGCCCATCTCACAGCCGATGTGAAAAAAAAAGGTGAATCAAATGGATGCTGTGCTCGCCGTTATCTCGGGGGTCTGACAAAGGAACTTCAACCGCTCGACATCGGTGTGAAGCGGCCGTTCAAAGTAAGGCTGCGAGCGGCGTGGGAGTGATGGATGACAGACGGAGACCACAGTTTCAGGATAAGTGGAAGGCAGCGCCGGGCAAGTTACGCCACCGTTTGCGGATGGATTGTAGATGCTTGGACTAACGTGTCTGCTGGCTCTGTTGTTCGCAAAAGCCAGCATTATTTCTGAGGAGCTGCGCTGCACGGAAAGTGACTCTGACAGCGAAGAAGGAGAAATTGGCATGTCTGATTTAGCGCAGCTGTTTAATTCAGAAACAGAGGATGATGACTTTGATGGGTTTGATTAATACTTTGTAATAAATACATGAATAAAGCACAATCATACTCAGTTTTGCTCCCGCTCTATTTTTCTACCTGAAAACTTAATTCAACAGCAGCCTCTGGGCCGGGTCTCCTCCGGTTTCACCGCGGTGGCTGGCAGGTGTTTTTCATCTAAATAATCTAAATCTTGCAGCTATATTTGCTGTGATCAGTGGGAATAAAGTAGTTTTAATATGTTTTTAAGTGAGAAAGGCCACCTGAAAACTTAATAATTGCAGTCAGTTCATCCAGATTATCTATTTCTGTCGGAGGCGCTCAGACCCCCACATACCAGCGGTGCGCCGACAGTAAATCCCTTCATCAGCAGCCTCTAGGCCGGGTAGCCTCCAGGTTCACCGCGGCTGCTGGCAGGTGTTTTTCATCTAAATAATTTTAGCTGCAGGTACCAGGATACCGGTAATAAAAGCGAACAAATTCCGTCGGCAGGTTTCAGGATTTTAAGTTGATTTAGGAGTAATCACAGCGCTGTGTCATCTGCGATGTGTCTGTCTCACGGCCAGCTGCCAGGTTTGATTAATACTTTGTAATAAATACATGAATAAAGCACAGTCATACTCAGTTTTGCCCCCGCTGTATTTTTAAATACGCAGTAGAGGTATTTAAAGGTAGTAGAGGATATGTACCTGTATATAAAAAACGCGCCCTATAGTCCGGTGCGCCTTATGTGTGTGTTAAATACAGAAATGGGACACATAACTGAGAGTGCGACTTTTAGTACGGTGCGACTTATGGTCGTGAAAATACGGTAAGTGCATTTTATCTAATTATCTTATTTTAAGAGTAAAAATATTCATTCCATTGGCCAATCATTTATTTACCTACTCAAATTAAGGGTAAATACACTTAATTTAAGACATTTTTACATATTTCTAGATCGTTTTTCCAGTGTGGGTCCAAGCCAAGCCAAGCCATGTTTTGACTTAGAAAACATGCAAACTGAACCTGACCAGTGGGTCCACCCCATTGGAATGTGGGTCGTTTAGTTTCTTTGTTAACCTGTAATACCCCATACCTGTCTATGTCTCTGAAAGGCCTTCTTACATCACTGAGAATGCATATAAACATATATTCAGACTATATCTAAGTCCCTTATTTTTATTTATTTTGTTTTTTACAGTTTATGTAAATATCCGGTTGTGATGGAAAGCTTTAACCAACATCTGCTTTCACTTACCCACATACATTAAATAATCATAGACCCCTTCGACTGTAATCATCTCCATGAAGTAGTTCTGGTTGTGTCTCTTCTCTGTCACCTCTGAGCGGTTGGCGTTGTTTTTGAAAAGATCATTGAAGAGCTGAAAGAGATTTTAGACCAGGAATAACCAATTAAAAATTAGCGGGGTCCGAATAAAGAAAATTAACAACCAGTAAAGGTGCAGAGACTTTTTAATTATAATCTGTTACTTTAAACAGAATTTAACACTGAAATAAAATTAGATGTTTATGCATCCATGTTATACATTTCATTTTTAAATAAAAAAATAGAAAAAAAAATAACTGATTTTTTTCTATTTTAAAATCTAAAGCATTTGTTTAAGTAGAGAACAACAATCTTTCAGTTTGGTTTATAGACAATTTCCTGATTCACGTATTTTATAAATCCCCTGAACTGACCGTTTTGTTGTTTTGTTTTTTTTTTCTTTCTTTTTTTTTTCTTAAAGCTACAGTGTGTAATAATTACGGGGATATACAGTCAGAAATGTAATATATTATACATAACTATGTTATTTTATCATCATCTACGAGCTCAGCCTCTTAACCTTAATATTTGCGTTGCCTTAGAATTCGTTATTTATAATTACATAGGAGCGGGTCTCCCAGCCATGGAGGCAGACATCTTTGCGATACGGCAGCGCAGAGCCAACAAACTAGCGATTGCAAAGCAAAGCAGCTCACCAAAACGTCACAACGATGTAGAAAAAAATAACGGGTATATTTATTATCTTAAGTCTACATGAAATCTATACCCTACACAGACTAATGAAATACTATCTGTAAAATTATCTATGTAAACAAACCTCATCACTTGAGAAGGTAGGTGATGCGGACGTCGTGGAAGACATTTTGTCCTGTAACGCTCGCGGTACTGTTGGGGGGCAGAAGCGTTGGGGGGGAGATGTTCATGTTGCTGCAGTCTGCAGTCTGGACGTTAGATGTCGCTAAAAGTTACACACTGTAGCTTTAATGTTGGCAGTGGGCTTTAGGCTGCCCTGCAAGGCTTTAAACCTGGGTTTGAATGGAGACTAAGCTATTCTCAAGCACATATCAAGGTGCTCATTTTGAGCCTGGATCCAGATTTATTTTTGATTCTGTTCATGGTGGAGAATCCTGCTTCACAGCAGCAGGTTGAGCCAAACATACTCTAAATGTGCAGGGTCATCTTTGAGCACAATTTCACTTTTCTTCCACCAGTTCACCGCAGTTCTTCCAGCAGTCCACACTTTCTCTGCTCTCTTTTTCTCATGGTCTTCTCCTTCTTTCCCATCACCCGGCTTGCCACAGGTTTGCCTGCTGTGTCTAAAAGTAGCAGCAGCAGCAACCCTGACTGACAGCTCATTGGCTCATTTGGATCACGTGCAGCCTCCGCTCCGGAGGGCTTTACCGTGTTACCAGGGGAAAAAGCGCAAGTGAAATTTGACACCGTCATCGGACAACATGTGGTAATTTATTAAAGTTTTCCATCCGATTGGGTCCGGATTAGCCAGCAGGTGGATCCGGATCCAGACCCCGATCTGCTAATCCGCGACCTCTGTTTTAGATTGAAGTTATAAACCAAGGTTCTTCTAACTCCTGGATCGACCTCTTGGGAAGTAACTAATGAATTTCTAACAAAGTTGGCCTTAATATGTAACTAGTACTGTTTCAAAATTAGTCTTTTAAGCTTCAAGTTCCTGGCATAAAAATTTATTTATTACAACAGTTCTGATAAAAAAAATGACTTTTTGTTTTCAAATACTAGCACTGAATGCAAACATTGAGCTACAGAGTGTATAGTAATAATCTGGCATATCTGAGCTGTGAGAGAAATATCTAAACTCAGCCAGCAACAGCATTATGTGTCTCTGGGAAGCGTTTTCAGAAAGCTTAAAATGTTGACCGCCAACCTTTTTATCGTTTTCTGACGTGGGGCTCAGGATGGTGAGTTCAGGTCGGCTGGGTTTGGGTTTGGGAGATTCACAGGAGTTGAAGAAAGACTGGATGAAAGGCTCCAGGTGCTGCCCTTTCTGAACAGAAAGACATTTCATTTCAAAACATGACACATTATTAAGGAAATATGAGGAGGCAAAATATTCCAGAATGTTCTAGATAAAACATACTGAGAGGATTGTTGTGGACATTGATTAAAACTAAATATAAATAATATGTCATCCACATAATTATTTATTCTAGAATAAATATTCAAATAATCACACATTTAAAAGTCCAGTGAAGCAAAATATTGTGAATTTCTTTCTTTTTTTAGCCTCAACCCAATAAGACAAAGTCAGAGGGCGGGGCCATGGGTGGCTTAACCAATCAGATGACGAATCAAATGTAGCATTTGATTTTTAAGCAGAAATTTTACATATTGTTGAATTATTTATTAAATGTGATGACTTAAAATGTTCTGGATAAATTTAATAATATATATTATGCTTGAATTTTTAAGTTAAAATATTTATTATGAGGTGCTATTTTACCATTTAAAGGGGAACACCGGTTGTTTTACATTGGCCTCTTGATTTTACGTTATTACATCATGTTCTAATCACCCATATCAGTTTTGTGTCATTTTAGACAATTAGACTTTAGACAGATTTTGTCATTTGGTTTACACAAGTGTAAAACAAAAAGAAATTTCGTTTGGAACAGCTCACTGGACAATTTCATCTATTTAAAAGTGCAGCCTTGAAAAAAATAGTCAAAATGACAGTAGATTTACAGTTCTAACTATTTTTTTTTTTACCATTCATTCATTGCTGCTACCACAGATGATCTCGCTCTCGAAATGGAATTGAACGATTCAGATTAGCTCGAATGAATAGAAGGGGTAGAGCGTAGCCGCCTGTGGCCCGGGCTTCCTGTCACAACTCCAGTCCAGCGCACTGATGACGTCATACACACTCTGCTTTTATATAAATATAAAAAATATAACCGCGGATGTCTGGGGGACAGTGATTCACCTACATGCTATGATTGCTGGCGTGCCATAAAGAATAAATGATGAACAGTTTAGTTTGTGCTTTCAAGTCGTTGCCCATAGGAAGACGTTACTTGGATTACAAAACGGAATATCTTCAGAACGGCTCCAAATGACACAAAACTCATATGGGTGAGTAGAACATGATGGAATGATGTAAAATCAAGGGCCCAACGTAAAAAAAACGGTGTTCCCCTTTAATTTTCAGCTAATAATAAAATAATAAATCAAGGACATAAATGCTTCCAAATGAATGTGTATTTTACCTCTTTGATCAGTTTGCTGGGCACAGCCTTTATTATTTTCCCTGTAAAGAGAACAGTTTGTTTGGTGATCTGTGGAACTTCATAATGTGTCATTTTCACCACATCCAGCTCATATAGGATCCCTCTGCTGTCATACCAAGGTTCACATCAGGCAGCATCTTGTCCAGAAACTGGGACTCCATGCTATGAGGAGACAGGAAGTCAGCCAGCAGCTGGCTGTTGCTCAGCTCAGGGTGCTGCAGAAGTCTCTGCAAAGGGCATAGATTCAAGAAAACACACCAGAGGTTAAGATAGATGGTTGATATAATTAACATCTGGGGGTAAAAAATTAAAAGCAGGAATGGTTTCAGGATTAGACTTAGAAGAAGAAATGTTAGTAGTTTTTAATAGCATTTTTGCAATTTACTTGTTTTTCTGTTTTCTTTACTACAGTATAAGATGTCTCTGTTTAGTCCTGTGACAGACTGGCAACCTGTCCAGGGTAGACATCGCACCAGCATTCACCGCAATGCTGTCAGAATAAGCTGGAGAAGATGGCTGAAGTATAAGATGTTACCAATTCTAATTTACTGGTATGAATAACACTGACTTTAATTATCAAGCAGATCAGTTTCAGTAATAACTGAGAATTACCAGCATAAAAAAGAAATTCAAACATTAAGGACATTATTGTAACTATCCTTTCAGATGAGGCCATTTAAAATCATATGCTCCATGATTTCAAAGAAAAAAAGATAATAAATAATGTTGGAATTATGCAAAGCAGATTCATAGTAGATTCTCTTCATACATCTTTGTGGAACTGTTCCTCCTAAACTGCAAGCTTTTGCACAATTGTGCAGATTTGCACACAAGAAAAACTCTGTAGCGTATCAAATAAAATCCAAGATAAACTGTAAATTAATTAGGCCAATACATTTTTTTCTGTGTCATTTTTTATTTGTGTGTCTTTCATTTTTCCCACCCCAGCTGGGATAAAGCGTGACGGAAAATGGACGGATCGATTCATTTTCCCCCTTATGACCAACAATGAAAATATGAGAAACAACAGGTTTTTTTTCCAACACTATTTGTTAAATAATAACAAATGTCGATATTATCTGACATCTCTAATTATTACTTTTCTTTTTTATTCATTAATATTAATCACCAAATTACCATACTTTAATATAATTTATATTAAAAAAGTTTTTAAAAAAACTGCAGTCACAGGACTTTATACTGAATTACAAACTTCCGCACTTTCCATTGGCCAAAATGTGAATGTCTTAATGTGAACAAAAAGTCATGTTTGATAGATGTAACGTCTCATTTCTTTCAGAGCAGGACTCTTACATAAAGCTTACTACACCAAGTTTTATTGGTTTTTTCTGTCGGCCAAATCACATAGATTAAAAGCAAACTAATGAAAATAGCTGCCATCATCTCATATTATTTTAATAAACAAGGTAACTTGCTTTGATCCCGGGTTTATAACAAGTTTAATATCGGAGTGTGGCCTCAGCTTGTTCGTCTGATGTTGCTCATTAAACCCAGGGGGCTTGTGTGTGTCTGCTCAGACTCATGGAAAATTACAGGGATTTAACATGTGGTTTATTTATGAGACAAAAAAAGGGAAATTAAAGCCATCCTTTCATTGAGTGCATGAACATCTTACTGATAAAACACAGAGTTTAATGATTTATGGCTTTAAAAGAATGAGGTTTAAGCTGATAAAAGCAGAACAGCCCATGTTTCACAGTCGTTCTTCTGCACACAGAGCATAATATCATAGATAACCTAGTTGGAAATTTCAGATTTAAAATAAAAGCTTTAAACTCAAGTTAAAGTCCTTCATTTGCACTTGAAAATCAACCTTTAAAGACATTCTAAAAGAATCCAGTTTATGTTTTTTTAATGCAAAATTATACAGTGTAGTTTTTAGTGTCTTGCAATCAAATCTTCTAAATTTCTCCGGCTTGTCTAATATTTTATAGTGAAGTTTTAGACATTTATTTATTTAGATATTAATTTACATGTTTTCATTTATTTTTTACATATACAAATCTAAAGGGTCTGCTGTGGATTGGTCCCCTTTACTCACACAACCCAAAATACAATTTGATGCCAGGCAAAGACAACTTTATAAATAAAGCACTTTAATGACAGCAGACACTGATAGGAGGGCTGAACGAAAGAATTAATGATTGATATAAATAAAAACATTAAAATTCAGAAAGAGACAATGACAACCAAAAGTGGGGAATAAGTCATCAAAGTGAAAATAGATAAATGAAATATAACATTGAGAAGAAGAGCGTTGAAATTGATTAACACCTTATACCGATTTAATAAATGATGCATTTTAGGAAATGCAACTTATAAGTGGAGCTGTTCTGTTTCTGTCCTTAGAGGTTTGCTGGATAACATCAGAGAACGCATGACGGGACAAAAAACTGCTGTTATTAGAAAAGAACGTCTTCTATTTATAAAGCCAATTAAGGGACACAGCAAACATTCACAAGGTGCTCCGGTCAGATCAATCTATGGCAAATGTAACGCCTGAACCCTAACTGTGAAACAAGGTAGTGGCAGCATGATACTGTGGGGATTTTAGGGGCTAAAAAGGAAAGGTTGATGCTGAAAAAAATAGGATGGTGTAGAGGCTCAGCTTGACCCTAAACAGAGATTTAAAGGTTTTGGTTAAATCTATGGAAGTAAATCTGTGTCGCTGGGATTTGAATTAAAAATGCTACTGAAATTTAAATGTTGTATGTTGGTACTTACTGTTTCAGTGTTAAAATATATTCATAACACATTTTTGACCTAAAAAGAAGTTCATCGTCATTATTTCTACACAGTTGAAATTGAATTTGCTATTTTCTCTTCAAGCTAAAAATTCACATTACTATTTCAAAGTGATTAAATTTTCAATACTTATTGTTCATTTTAATTTTGAGTGTTAAAAAAATCTGCATATAAAAAAATTCAACCTTTCAAAATTCAAACTCAATATTTTCAGCCTCTTGAGATTCAACTGGCTCTATTTCACTGTCCTAAATTCGGCGTCTAAATTCAGTGTAAAAAGGGAAGGGTTACTTCAGGTCACAGACATTAGCAATGGATTGTGGCGTCCAACACACAGCCAATCCTGTTACGGTTTCTTAGTCACGTGACGTGACCCTTGTGTCGCTCATATGGAAGGAAAACCAGCATCACGGAGCCGGCGGTCATGCAAGCTAACGCTAACTCAACGGTGAGTTTATTACTTTCCTTTTTCTGTAGTTTTTTTTTTAGGTCAAAAATGTGTTCTGAATATATTTTAACACTGAAACAGTAAGTACAAACATACAACATTTAAATTTCAGTGGCATTTTTAATTCAAATCCCAGCGACACAAATTTACTTCCATAAAATCTGTTAAAGTTCAAATCTAAATCGGACTGAGAGTCTGTGGGAAGACACCAAAACCTGATCCTCAGAGACGTTCTTCTTCCAATTTGACTGAGCTTGAGGTGTTTTTGCAAAGTGGAATGAGACAAAAATTCAGTCTCTAGATATGTATGTAAAGCTGGTAAAGACATTCCACAAGGGGAGTTTCAACAAAAACAAAACAAAAACTAATGGATTATTTACCTTCTAATTATCGACCATTATGTGGTTTATTAAATGAAATCCCCCCCTAAAAACACTGAAGGTTGTGACTGGACTGTGAGTTATTTTTAAAAAACTTCAGGGGGTGTGAATACTTTTCCCAGGTACCTCAAAAATTTCACAACCCCAGAATTAAAGATAATGCGTCTCTTGAACAACAAGCAGGCAGCTCTAAATCCTACCTGAAGGTATTCCTCAAACTCCTCCCGCTTGGATGTTAGGAACTCATAGTTCTTTGGGCCGATTATTCTCTTAGAGGGCAGCTGAGCATCTGGAAATGAACCTTAAAAGAGGAAAAAAAGCTTTTTAAGAATGTATGTTTACCTCTAGGTTTATAGCAGACATTTTCTACAGAGCCTCCTTACAAATTTCTTTAAAAATGACTCCAAATGATGTCAGATTGCAAAGTGAAGAAATAAAGAGCAAAAAACCTACCATGAAACTCAGTTAGCCTTGATTCCAGCACATAAAACTCCAGATACCTCCTGTAGACCGACCAGTGCTCGCTGTCATGACCCACTATTGGAAAGTAGACAGAAGAAAAATGATAAATTACAATTAATTAATTCATATTAACAAAAAAAATGAATTGCTCTCATTATGAGCTTCAACATTCTTGTGTCATCTTTCTTTATCTTGAGTAATACAACCTCGTTTCCATCCATGTTCTGCTTTTTGCTTAACAAGAAATAAAAATTACAATAAAAGATGCCCCTAATAATCCACGCTTGTGGAAGTGTACCTGCTTTCCTGTCATTGCGCTCCACATCGATACAGAAGACAGGAATCCTCTCCCTCTTCACGTCGTCGTCGTAGAAATCGATGTAGGGGATGGTGATGTTCCAGGCTGAGAGGTTTCGAGGGGTGCTGGGTGTGGATGCTGCCTCCATGGGGGAGTCATCCTCAAGCACCATCATGGCTTCCTCTACCTGAAATACACAAAGTTAGGCAAATTATAACATCCACTGGGTTACAGCACTGCCTTGTGAAGCTGGTAGCTACTTAAAGAGACATAATGCAAGTTTTACCTGGAAAATTTCTCCACAATAGACTTTTTATTTGACCCTTTATGACTAAAAAATGGTTTGATGAGCAGACTGACACATCAGTAGTTCAGCATTGATGCATCTATAAGCCTGTTGCCTGTTTTCCCTGAATGTACTTCAGGTCTGATGTTCCCGTGCCGTTTCTCCGGATGTCTGGTCAAGCACGTCCATGTTAAATATGTCCAATCGAGAAAACAATTAAACCGTTATGTTCTAGATTCATTTTAGGGGTCATGCATAGGGACCCAGAGTGGCAGCCTGTGCGAATGAGTGGGACTTGAACTCAGAACCAATGGGAGCAAGGCTTTAACCACTAGGCCACCGCTCCCATTGCCTGGCAAAGAGAAGGATAAACATTGGATCCGCATTTGAATCTTGGAGAAAGCTCAGAGTTGTGTTGGGACTAAGAAGGGACCTTAAAATGGTTAGATAACACAGACTATATAAATGGCCCTGGGCCATGTACAAAAAAATTTAAAACCCATTTGATGTAATAATAAGTTTATATATATATATATCAAGCATTGGTGCTGGAAGTACTAAAATAGTCCTTTTTGAGCCTAAATAGAATTCTAGCACCGGCACCAATGAAGAGGAAGAGAAATGAAGAGACACAGGAGCCAAATGCCGGAGGCATCGCAACACTAGCAGAAAGCGACTAATAAATAGAGCCGCACAGGAAAATTAAGATTAAAACATCTCCAGCAAAGTAATTTTGTTTTTAGTTTAATTATACAAGCATGAAAATTGGGCTGTGCTGCTGTATTGTAATTTCATATATATATATATATATATATATATAGTTATTTAAAAAAAATATATAGACACACACACACATATATTATTATTTAGTTCAGTGCACACTAACTTTCCTAGAGTTCAACGTCCCTACAACTTTTTAAAGTTATGTTTAAAAAAGCTTTTCTATGAAACCACTGAGATCAGGCATAAATGATGGAAGTTGGAAAAAAACAATAGACGGAAGGAAAGTAAGAAGGGATGAACAAACAAAATCGGAAGGAAGGAAGGAAGGAAGGAAGGAAGGAAGGAAGGAAGGAAGGAAGGAAGGAAGGAAGGAAGGAAGGAAGGAAGGAAGGAAGGAAGGAAGGAAGGAAGGAAGGAAGGAAGGAAGGAAGGAAGGAAGGAACAACACCCGAGGTCGACCACAAGAAATGACAAGAAGAAGAAAAAAGGAAACAAGGGGGTAAACCTGGGAGACAAATAATGATTATGGAAACTGTTAAGGAAGGAAAGGAAGAGTGCAAGGAAGAAATAAAAGGAAGCAGGACCAGAAAGGACAAAGAAAGACGTAAGGCAGAGAAAAGGCAGGAGAAAGAAAGTCAGACAAAGGAAGGAAACTTCTCCAGTCTGTCTGAAAGCTGTTACACATTCAGGGGGAGAAGCTTAAAGCATGGAAAGCGGATTCTCTTTACTCAGGCACGCCCCCATGTGGCAGAAATCTGACTGCACTTGGATTCTGACAATTTAGCTGTTTCTATAAACCTTGAAGCATTGATTTATATTTTTCACCTTCTTTAGAATGTAGAATAACAGGAAAGACAAACAAAGAATGTTGAGACTCTTTCTGTCCTCACCATATCATCCTCTCCCTCCACCAGCCCGTAGGACGGCAGCATGGCGCCCTCCATGGTCGTGCTTTTGAACACTCCTTTGATCTTACTGCCAATGCGGCTGATCCCGAAGGACTCGCCCCTCTTTGACGTGTTCCTGCAGTACGAACAGGGTGGATAATGAACAACGACCGACGGAGGGGAGGCACGTGGCTTCAGCAGAGCGCATGCAGCAAGACGAGAGCCAGAGAAGAAGACAAAGCACCAGGCTGCATAGAGGCGGGACAAAATTACCCAAAAGCCAAAATGTCACTTTGTATTCATCTTACAATGCCAAAAACTTGGGAGCATAGTAAAGCTCTGCTGGGCCACAAGCAAAAACAAGTGCAAAGCAGTGAGCGTTGACTTACAGCTTTCATTTAAATACAAGGAAAGGGCATTGTTCTGTTATCAGGAACGAATCAACCAGATAAGGAACAAACACAGATACTCAGCTTGAGTCGGATAAGTTAGGAAACACGTAGAACATATGGGTTCAACTCAATTAAAGAGAAGAGCCGGGATAAGTCACTGCATTGTCAAAAGTAATGAGAAATAAAAACAAGTTTTCATGCATTTGGCCTACCATGCAGGCATCTGGGGAGGACTGGGGTCACATGGGGAGGGTGAGGGGATGGACGGCATGACATCACACTGTATCTGGACACACAGATGGACCCTGACTTACTTGGGCGATGAGTGGCGGTGGGATTGCGAGCCGTATGGGAAGTTTGTGAACGTGGGCTGGGCATGGAGGGAGGTAAAAGATGCAGGTGAGGAGCTGCCAGAGGCGGTGAAGAGTGAGGACGGGGACTCAGGGCTCCAGTCCCAGGAGCTATATGCAGAACAGGGATATGTCCCCATCAGAGGAAGCGGAGGGAAAGGAACCGAGGGTCGTATCAGGGCAGGCAGTATGGTAGTCAGGTTGTCAGAGTGGACATTCAGTCACAGACAGAGCACGGCGGCTGCCGAACGTAGATGGAGTAACAGGCGGACGGACAGGCCGAGCGGAGAAGGTGTTCCCATTCAAAGGTATGAGGGAGGTTAACCTTACACTGCCTTGCAAAAGTATCCATATCTATTGGATTTCTTCCCATTTTTCCATCATACAGTCACAAACCTCAATCTACTTCATGTGGATTTTATGTGACAGACCAAAGCAAAGCAGCAAACAACCAGTCACCTTTTTCAAACGTTTTTACAAATCAATGTGTTAAAACTTTGGCGCATTTGTTAATATTGAAGCTCTACAACAGATTCTTAATTACATTTAGGTTTAGACTTTGATTAGGCCATTATAACACTGTGTTTAGGTCCACCTCAGTATCAAATCTTTGCATATTAGATTTTCTTACAGTGTTGTCCTGTCCGTTCCTACAGAAAACAAAGAATCCCTGCAGCCTGTGGCTTTAGGTGGACGTCCATTTCTTGGTAGCAGTTGGTCCATTATCTCTCCAAACCAAGATGATAAACTTAATAGAGATCTGTGAGATTTTTTGGGCGACTGTCTTAAAATTTGATTAAAATTTTTGGAATGAGACACTTTTTAGATGTGTGTCCTTTAAATTTCCCATTTAAATTCAAATCCAATTTATCCATATAGTACATTTAAGAAAACCTGCCGCTGGCCAGAATGCTGCACTAACACTAACTCTAGCATAAGAAGAAATATGCTCACAGTATAAAAGAGATATAGAAACATAAAAAGCTTAACTTTTGAATATTTAAAGGTATAGGGAAGGACTTTTCATGAATTTTGGAAAAAAAAAATAAAAAACGCCATCTCCCGTTTTAAAAAATAAAAATAAAAAAAGCACATGCACAACTCTTTACCTGCTTCCGAAAGGGAACGCCTATAAAATGCGTGTGAGAGCGTGCACAAGCCCATTTCTCCTCGTGCACGCTCTGTTTACAAGTTGCTGTTTGCATCGCTCATACAAGCTTACTTTCCAAAAGAAATGTAATTATTCCACTATGTCAGACTCACCACCGGTAAGTAAAAAATGTATTTACGACAAGCAAACCCTCGGCCATTTTCAACGAACCGCTGTGAGAAATCTTCAATGACTGGCTGAAACCGTAGCTCACCTCAGGGGGAGTATTGGCATGGGTGTTGCGATACGATACGTGTCACGATCCCTGGGTCCCGATGCAATATTATCACGATATTGTAATATTTTTCCCAGCTATCAAAATTAAATGTATAGATAAAAAAGCAAGTGCTTTATATTTTCATCAGAAGATATTCATTTAGTTATTTTGGTATCCATGTTTTTGGGGTTTGTGTAAGTCACATGTTCCGCTGTGACTGCATAAACAACAGCAATGGTGCTGCATAGCACAGTGAGAGGACTCCCAAGCTGCTAGAGTGGTTGTGAATAGGCAGCCCATTTTCCCTCATTGTTTTAGGTAAAAATTTAGTTTTTTTTTATAGATATTTGGAACTGCAATACTGATATTGTATCGGGCAGCCGCAAATCACGATATACACTATATTGCCAAAAGTATTTGCTCACCTGCCTTGACTCACATATGAGCTTAAGTGACATCCCGTTCCTAATCCATAGGGTTCAATATGACGTCGGTCCACCCTTTGCAGCTAGAACAGCTTCAACTCTTCTGGGAAGGCTGTCCACAAGGTTTAGGAGTGTGTTTATGGGAATTTTTGACCATTCTTCCAGAAGCGCATTTGTGAGGTCGCACACTGATGTTGGACGAGAAGGCCTGGCTCTCAGTCTCCGCTCTAATTCATCCCAAAGGTGTTCTATCGGGTTGAGGTCAGGACTCTGTGCAGGCCAGTCAAGTTCATCCACACCAGACTCTGTCATCCATGTCTTTATGGACCTTGCTTTGTGCACTGGTGCACAGTCATGTTGGAAGAGGAAGGGGCCAGCTCCAAACTGTTCCCACAAAGTTGGGAGCATGGAATTGTCCAAAATGTCTTGGTATGCTGAAGCATTCAGAGTTCCTTTCACTGGAACTAAGGGGCCAAGCCCAGCTCCTGAAAAACAACCTCACACCATAATCCCCCCTCCACCAAACTTTACACTTGGCACAATGCAGTCAGACAAGTACCGTTCTCCTGGCAACCGCCAAACCCAGACCCGTCCATCAGATTGCCAGATGGAGAAGCGCGATTCGTCACTCCAGAGAACGCGTCTCCACTGCTCTAGAGTCCAGTGGCGGCGTGCTTTACACCACCGCATCCGACGCTTTGCATTGCACTTGGTGATGTATGGCTTGGATGCAGCTGCTCGACCATGGAAACCCATTCCATGAAGCTCTCTGCGCACTGTTCTTGAGCTAATCTGAAGGCCACATGAAGTTTGGAGGTCTGTAGTGATTGACTCTGCAGAAAGTTGGCGACCTCTTCGCACTATGCGCGTCAGCATCCGCTGACCCCGCTCCGTCAGTTTACGTGGCCTACCTCTTCGTGGCTGAGTTGCTGTCGTTCCCAAACACTTCCATTTTCTTATAATACAGCTGACAGTTGACTGTGGAATATTTAGGAGCGAGGAAATTTCACGACTGGATTTGTTGCACAGGTGGCATCCTATCACAGTTCCACGCTGGAATTCACTGAGCTCCTGAGAGCGACCCATTCTTTCACAAATGTTTGTAAAAACAGTCTGCATGCCTAGGTGCTTGAATTTATACACCTGTGGCCATGGAAGTGATTGGAACACCTGATTCCAATAATTTGGATGGGTGAGCAAATACTTTTGGCAATATAGTGTATATCACCAAATCGATTTTTTTCCCCACACCCTAAGCTCACCATATATATATATATATATATATATATATATATATATATATATATATATATATATATATATATATATATATATATATATATATATATATATATACACACCTCAAAGTGTGCGTGCGCAGAAAGATAGCTAACTGGGGCCAAGCACGTAGGACGGCCTTATGTAAACATATCACCAGAATGATTGACAACTAGGAGGACCACTTATTTAGACGATCCACCCGGAAAAAAGAACATCCTCAACAATGTAAGTAAAAATGTGTTTTAGGAAGTGACTTTAAAACAACAAGAGTCAACTATTTAGGCACTAGAACTGAAAAGGCCCGATCGCCACAATAAACCAAGCTGGACTTTTGGACAAATAAGCACAGATGAGTATCATATCTAAGGATCTAGAGAACACATAAAACTGTAGCCTCGTGAGACCATCCTGATCTCGCGAGCTTTCAGGATTTCACTCGCTAATCAGTCTGGAGACTCTCCGTTAAAGAAAATTTGGAGCCGTTCACCAAACGAACGTCCAATCAGCGTTGGCTTTGAGGCGGGTTGAGGTGTGACGCAACGAGAACCGCGACAGTTCAGTCTAAAGAACATGGCGACTTCAGCCGATGAAACTAGCGTTAGCGTGGCTATCGAGCAAGTTTTATCGGAATTACAGAGTATTTCTTCACTGAAAGAAGAGCAAAACACTGCTCTGGAGGCTTTTCTCAGAGGAAAAGATGTTTTTGCTCTTCTCCAGACTGGTTTCAGCAAGAGTAGCCTGGCTTGTGGTTGTGTTTTCGTACGTCTATCACCAACATAGGCCAATCAGCTAACCAGTATTTTCGACCTTCCCAAAATTACTTCAACGGAAGGTTTCCAGATGGATATGCGGAGCAAATCCATCTGGCGGAGTCAGGTTAATACAACTGCAGGAAATCAGACAAATATACAGACCCCTGGCCATTCACAGCCGACAATAAAACCTTATAATCGATTCTAAAACAAATAGGAAGCCAAAGGGAAACAAACATTTTTATTGTATTAGGAGACAAGCTGCTGCGTTTTGAACCAGCTGCTGTTGTTAGAGACTGACCTGGCTAACACCGAGATACAAAGGAGGAGTAATCAAGTCTCAGTCACTCACTCAAAAACATTTGAAGATAGAAATTATCTCACTTTGGACGTCAGATTCAGTTTAAATATGGATTTTTATAGCACAGGTTATCCATTTCTCAAGATTAAGACTGGAATCAAGAATCTCTCCAAGATGTTTGACGTGAGCTGGAGGCTACCGAGGTCGGAACGCGCTACGATTTTTTTACTGGGACCAGAAATTATATAACTTCAGTTTTATTTTCGTCAAAGTTTATAAAATACTTAATCAAACTGTGGCTGCAATGAGCAAGGTTGACCGTGCTTCATTATTTCATTAATTAAAATAAAATTGAGTATCATCTGCATATTAAAGAAATAAAAAAGCTAAGGCACAACTTTGTGTTGGTTGCTCACATAAAATCCCAACAATACCGTAAAGTTTGAGGAGAGTCTGAAAAAGTTGAATGGAAGTAAAAATACTTTCACAAGCTATTATATAGGACCTTTATTAATCCCCCAGTAAACCAATATCTACTTTTACTATCATTCATATGTAGTTACTTTAAAAAAAAAACGCTGTTTTAAAAACTGAATTTTCTTTATTAAAACTGCATCAGTTTTTTCTAAACAGCAGAAAATGTTAATTTATCTTTAAATTAAGCACATATGTGTTTTGATTAACATCACAAATAAAGGCCATCTGCTTGAACCTTCCCTCTTTTGCATTTACACCTGATATGATTTTTTTTTTTGAAACGTTATTATTCAGCTTTTTTTTATCCTCAGCCACAGCAATACCCTATCCTAATAAAGGCAGTGGATAACCCTCGTCAGGCAAGGTTGAAGCGTCCTTTTTATCTTGCGTGCAACCCTGCTTAGCCAGTCACTGGTTCGATCAGCACACCGATGCCTCATACTCACCGAATGTCATCCAAACTGACGCTATTTCTGGAACAATATGTACAAGGAGTTAGTGGATGTCCACCGCTGCTACCTACACACCATGCTCCATCACCCAAAACATAGTTTAGATTTTTGTTTTCTTCTCATAATTAAATGCTTAGAATTAAAAGCTAAAGAGTTGCAATTCACTTGTGGGCGTCAGATCATCAGCCCAGTGAAGGGATTTCTAAATAATAAGGCCATGAGTCCATGGTGAAACTTTAAACTCTGCTGTAAGACTTTCTGTGGTTTTTTTGTGTGCTACTTTTCTCCACTTATCTCCATTTATCCATTGGATTGCAGATAGACCGAAAAAACTGAATTCATCTGCCGCCATCTTGGTACTCCCCACTTTCAAGGAGTTTGCACCATAAAAATGCCTGTAATCAGGGTGCGAAATACGGGGGGGTCCAGGGGGGCTCGACCCCTCCGATTAACCCATGAGACCCCCTGAAAGCCTCAAAAGCAAAATTTAAAGGGGGTCTTAAATTGTGTCAAAAAAATTAAAAATTAAATATTTTGTTGTTACTAATGGTCACTAAAATGTTTTTAAGCTTAACATGTCCAGTATTTAAAATTCAAACCCTTTATTCACAAATATGTTCTGTTTTTTGCCAAGTGGAGCCAGCCAATCCTGTTCGCGTATGCAAATTAGCCATGTGCTTTTCCGCAGTTAATAACACGGGCAACGCGGAACAGTTTGCACGAAGACAGCAGGTCTTCAGTCCTGTTTTTGGACCTCAGTGGACCTCCTCTGGACAAATTCGACCCAGTTCCATTAGTCAGAAACTGGATTAAAGGAATAGTACACCCAAAACATGATTAGCCTTCATTTTCTACTCACCCCCATGCTGAACAACACTCTGGAGTACTTTTTTGATATCTCAAATGCATCTGGAGATCTGGGAGGCTTCTTGCTGTCTGCTGACATTCAAATAATGGAGGTCTATTGTGCCCGAGACAGAAAGGTCCATAAAAGTCCACAAAAACGTGTCAATATTCCTCCATGCTGCTCGTCCAATGTATTCCAAGTGTCCTGAGTGGGTAGCATCCAGAATTTACTTGAAACGAAGTAATTTAGAATGTTTTTAGAGCATAAACAGTAGTGAATAGTATTTCCTAAAAGCGCGTTCACGAGTCTACGGAAACCGCGGCAGACCAAACCAGACGAAAGTGCTCATTCAGCTCGGCAAAGAACTCCTGCTCTTCCTCAACACTGAAGTCCTCAGACATTTTTCTTTCGTTGTTTCTTTCTTTGCACAGGTAAACAGCACATTTCTTCTTCTACGCTTGCATTATTGGCAGAGCAGACGCTGAATGCGCACTTTCATCTGGTTTGGTCTGCCGGCTTCCGTAGCGTCCTGAACGCGCTGGCGCGCGCTTTCAGGAAATACTATACACTACTGTTTATGCTCTAAAAACATTCTAAATGACTTCGTTTCGCGTAAATTATGGACGCTACCCACTCAGGACACTTGGAACACATTGGACGAGCAGTATGGAGGAATATTGACACATTTTTGTGGACTTTTATGGACCTTTCTGTCTCGGACACCGTAGACCTCCATTATTTGAATGTCAGCAGACAGCAAGAAGCCTCCCAGATCTCCAGATGCATTTGAGATATCAAAAAAGTACTCCAGAGTGTTGTTCAGCATGGGGGTGAGTAGAAAATGAAGGCTAATCATGTTTTGGGTGTACTATTCCTTTAAAGCAGGACATGTGCGTGCATGAAAGAGAGAGAGAGATAGACAGACAGTCTTTGTGCATGTGTGTGTTTTCATAGACTGACTGTCTGTTCAGGCTCTTGCCCGCTCCACCAGATTCACAGAAAGCTTCATCCACCAAGCTGTCAGGAAGCTGAGCCCCCCCTATCAAAAAAAAATCACTCCGGACAAACTGTCTCCTGCACTACTATTAATACTATATTTATTTACTGTTCTTTTGCACTGTTACTGTAACAAATGCTATATCTTCTGCTGCCATTACCATCTGCCTTTTTGCACTAGCATAAGTATTGTATATTTTATATTATTGTACATTTCATATTTTATTATGAAATTGAATATTTAAATTTTAGTATTAGGAACTGATCTTATCTGTTGTGCCTGTGCACTTTATCTGTTTCACTGCTGGTGAGTGAGAAACGTCCTCTCCAGTCCTTGTATATCTGGTGAATATGAAGAATTGACATTAAAGCTGACTTTGACTTTGCAATGTTATAGGCCTATTGCATGTTGAGAAAATTTAAATCGGTATTGTGCAACAACTGGGAGACAGAGACCCCCCCAAATATTGACAGGTATTTCGCACACTGCCTTTAATGCAATGTAATTACCTGAACAATGTAATCAATACATGTACATCATCAATTTAGCACTTTTGGCACATCATCAGCGTCAGATATTAATATTCTTAAAATCTGACTACAGTATTATTATGCTCCATTAACACACAAATTTTGATGTGATGGATCAATATAATATGGTGTATTAGATGATTTATAGACTCCATGGACTTCATACTGAATTTGCAATGTGATCTATGTGTCTATTTTTTATCTTAAATTACAGTAATCTACTGATGACATGAAACAGCAAGTGTGTGTAAAAGTGATGATTTTATCTTTATTTTAAAGGTCTTAAGTCACCCTGAAAATAAGAACATAATTGTTGTTTGATGCTGTTTCGCAGGTATTGTTCACATTCCAGCCGGTCTAATTAGGGAGTACCAATATGGCGGCTGGTGACTTCACAGCATCCTGTACTACCAACGGCCTACCAGCAATCCGGTGTATAAATAGAGATCAGTGCTTTCCTCCCTCTACAAGCTAATCAGCTATATTTTAAAATCTAAAGAAAAGTAGGGATTTGTATCTGCACACCTTGTACCATTGATTGTGCATATTACTCGTTCATCTGTTTCCCTGACAACCTGGACATTTTCACTCCTCATAATGATGCTAATTGAAAGAGAAACTGTGCAAGGTGCTGCAGCTCCAAGTCCTTGTGACTTCGGTGCCATTTGGCTTCTCCTAGATAGCCGTCTGCATCTCAGAGATCAGCTCAAACACTTTTCATTAAGAAATTAACTCTGCCAAATATTCGTCTGATTAACTGTAATGATGCTGTAACATTCAACAAGCACAGTTATAATCAGGTATCAAAACCTGGACTCGAAACTTTAGCGAGGGTGTTTTCATAGGAAAAATAGATCAGCTTATTAAAGACTGTAGCTGTATGTGTTTATTATAATACAGCAGCTAACAAGGCCCTATGGTTTTTAGTTGGTGCATTTTCAAATGATCCAGAAGCTTTTTAGATAAACCTGTTGGATCACCTTATTAGGACCATCATGCTGTTTTTTTCCGCTGAGCGGGAAATACCTCTCGCTTTGGGGAAAAAGCGAGAAGGAAAACCAGCAGCATTTGGAACGATGTTGCCCCCCTGGTATATTTAATCTGGAACAGCCACTGAAACCAACATTGAGGTGTTTGGCTTGAATGAAAGTTTTCCATTTACAAAGACAGGGAGAAGCATTTAAGCTTCGAGAAGTAGAAGATAACATGAGGAAAAAACATTATAAGAAAAGCAAGAAAGAAAATCTTATCAGCCAAGTCGGTAAAGGCTGGAGCATAAATAAAGACAACTAAATCCAGGAGCTGGAAACTCTACCAAACACTAAAGAAAAGTATGAGATCTCTAGACCTTAAAGGTAAAAGAAACTCTGTCTTTATAGTGAAAATTATATTAATATTCCTGACTGACTTAAAACAGGAAGCAATTTTCCTGACTTAATATAAAACACAGAAAACGATTTTATGTCTTATTGCATAGTGTTTATTAATATGTTCTAACTGTAATTTAGATCAACTAAAGAAGAGTGATATCAACGTCATTGATGCGACAGCAATCATAGCCTTAATAAGAGATCCAGCAGATTGTGACTAAGATGTGAACTGGAAAGACATTCAAAGAAATAAAGTTGAGCTTTATGCATTTTTGTCCCCAATCTATTTTTATTTTTTTTTTAACAATCACGACCTCCATCATACGATAAGCTATTATTGTTTTGCATTGATTGATTCATTTAGTTTTTTTTCCACAAATATTAAAAACACATTGATGGTAAAGTTAGACCAACCTGCTCATCTTTGAGTTCCTGGCCGGGGACTCGGCCCCCCTCAGAAGCTGCCGAAAATACTGCAAAGAAAAGCAGAGTGTTTACAGGTGCAACAGTTCAACAGATACATAAATTTTTTCAATCCAGAATACAAAGTCATCTATGTTTTTAATTAAGAGGTCAGATAAAATTGGGGTTTTTGTTCCAGTGGTTTAACTGTGGACTGTGGCTGAGCTCCGGCCTCTTTTCTTTAATGAAGCTGCGCCTGATGCAGCCTGGCGCTGCGCCAGCGTCTGCTCATTGGCCGGATGTAAATCTGCTCCTGATGACAAGGCAGGTGTGGATTGGTGGATGAAAGGTCGGAAGAGTGCTTCCTCAGCTCAGCTAGCTGAGTCCGATAATTTGCTAAACCGGTGAGTAAAAAAACTTGTTCTAACGTCTGACACTCGAAACTCTTTCTATAAAGACTGAAAACTCTTTAGTCTGCTACATCAGTTACTAACCTCGTCGCTGTGACAGAACATGGGGGTGAAA